GCCAATAAACATCCTTAGCACAGAAAATATGAAAACACAGGCAGAGGGCAGAGTCTTGCCAGAAAAATACAGCGCAACACACTGTTAGTGGATCATAAATGATGATTAAGAGGGACTGCTTCTGTACAAGAAAATCCTGCATAGTATACTTTAAAAAGTTGATATTGGAGACAGCAGGAGATACAGGAGGGAGAAGGTGACATGAAACAAATGTCCCTGGAGTGACACAGATCCATGAGGCTGCGGTGTGTGTTTTAGACCACTGGGAGACTCCACAGCAAATGGTCCTTGGTCTAACGTTTGCTTTCACTAAAGGCTGACGACCAAACCTGAATGTGTAAAGCTTTGGAAGAAGAAACCAATGGTTCTGATTTTTAAAAATCCCCACAGATAGAATATGTATGTATGTATGAACTTGTATAGTTTGTGTTTGATATTGACTGACATTGTGCCCCCCAACCCCGTGGCGCCCAGCTGACGAGCCTTTTAAAAAGTATTCTTTGAAGTCTAGGACCATGACGCACCTGTTAAGTGGTTCTTGCATACCTCTCTTACCATGGTCATAGTCAGACTATTCTGTATCAAGGCACGTCTACTTGAATTTATTGCGTATCAGAATTTAAAAGAAAAAAAAAAATTCAGAATCAACTTATGGTCTTATTCACAATGTAAATACTTCCTAATCTATGAAAAGTATACAGTAGTGACGGCAAAGTTAGTAATGTGTTACGGTGTATATACTGTAAATACTACCTGTACTTATTAAAGTGTATGACATTTTGCTGTGTTTTCTTAAACTGGATTGTAAAGTGAGTTTTACATTGTCAATACAGAGTGAAACAAAACAGAAGTGACAAAATAAATACAGGATCCAGTATTTATTGAGTTCAATCAAAAAGCTGATTGTCACAAACACATTTTGAAATAACTGGACATTTAAATGTCAAGTCGTTACAGAGAGACATAAAAAGGATGACACAGTATGACACTTGACCATAGCCATCAACTCATATCTTAAAGCTGCCTCAGTCCACATGTGTGTATTGCATGCATTTGTTAAATAAGTATGTGTTAACTGTGATCAGTTGTATTATGAGAGCTGGGTTATTGTTTCCCTTTGTGAGTCAGTTTGTAACCACCTGGCCATCCCGACTCTAGTGCTGCCTTCACAGATCTGTCCACCTCTCTCTTTGCCACCTGACCAACCCAGGACAAAGAGGAGCAGGAAAACCACTACACTCCTTCCCAGAGTTTCATCCAAATCCAGGTCCCCAGGTCAAATTGATCCCTCCCTCCTGGTTCAGCCGATTCACCTGATGTGCCACTCCACTCTCCACGGGTAACTTGAATCAGTTGACCCATCACACACACACACACCTCTTCTCATTTCTCAGTTTGTACGTCTTCGATGCTTTTCCTTGCATCATAGGGCTCAGTTATGCTCAACATTAAATATGTATACAGGCACAGACAAAGCCTTTTGTCCGTACTCTGCATTTGTGCATGTTGTCTGAAAGCTTTCAGATTGGGACATAACAGAGAAATACCACCACTGATTGTGGGGTCATGTAGTTCAAGCGAGATGCGACCATAGGAGATGACTGGCCTCACAGACCACCGCCATTTACAACGCTGCCTCCGTTAAATGTTACATAATTCCAACCTCCTCCACCATCACCTCACGTTGTTCGAAACTTTTGACTCTGCCCTCTAGTGCCATCTATTGGCTGTATTTATGCCAACATAAAGGACACATTGATGTATGAGGGCAGCAATGTTTACAACATTTGAAACAGACGTATCTGTTGTTGTATTTAAAGAGGGTATAAATGAGTCCGTAGTCCCTCCCACCTGAGATGCAAGCGAAGGAGGCAAGAAAGTGACACAAGTTGAGAGGAGTCAAGGCAACAGGCATTTAACAAAATTAAAAGCGACGTGAATTAAATATGATGTGTGATACAGCTGTATCATCAGCGATGTGTCACGCCCAAGCCCCCACGAACAGCGCTAGGCTTGAGGCCAATTTGACATACGTTGTTTTCAAGCGTCATATCCCCTGCTAAATGACTTTTTTCACTATCAAGATTTGATTCATTTAGGCCGATAATATTTCGAAAGTCAAGAAAAGCCGCACAATTAAATAATTTTATCTGCATTCAAGTTAATGGAGGGCCAAAACAGAAGATAGCCATTCGGCTGACCAAAGTCTCAAGTGTATTTGTTCTCTGGACCCATGGCTGCGGAAATATGAGTAATTTTACAACCAGGAAGTCAAACTTTTTGGCTGCATGTACAGCTTTCATAGGGATGAACAAGGCCCGGCTTCATATGTTGCATCCAGGTCTCTTTATACATCCATGGTCAAGCCTCTTTTATATGTCACTTTCCAGAAATACTAATGCAAAGGATGCACCCGAGCGTCCTCGCTCATAGTTCCTCCGTAGAAGTCAAGACACCCTTGAAAGTGGTGTGCTAAGTTCAATCTCCCAGTCACAGACAGGAGGATGGAGAAAATCAAAAACGAGGACGCACAAAATAGAGAAATGAGAACAGCCCGCTGTGTAGTGCTTTAGTCAGACCAAAAGACCAGCACCAGACAACATGAGTGACCGAAACAGTGGCAGATGAAGCACCAAGATAACTCACCAGAAAATGACTTCAGTAGAAGTTAAGTCACTTATTAGGGTAGTACCTCAGTAAATGTCTCTGATATTTATTGTACTGATGTATCAAAAGTAATTTTATGATATTAAATGTGCTTAAGTATTTAAAGTAAAAGTACAAGGGCAACGCTGTTAATTACAAAGCAAGCGATCAGACGGTTATTTCTCCTTAACATGTACACCACCTTAAAAATGAAATGGTTAATTACACTTGACAAAAAAAGAGGTCTGTTTCAGGGGAAATGTATTATACTCAAATACATTTCGTGAAGGGCATGTAGTGAAGTAAAAGCTGACAGGAAAAAAAAAATTCAAGTCAAGTACAGATTCTCTCAGAAAATATTAAAGTAATGTAATGAAGTATTGTCACTTCATTACATTACATTACTGGACCTAGACAGCTTATAATCATAATACTGGAATATGCACAGTATACAATGCACCAATCCACTGAGAACTTTGCACTTTATTTTGCCAGGAAATAGATTTTATAGGTTTTTGTCATTTCATCGTCTGTCTTAGATTATACTGTGCTACATCCTGAATAAGCTCAAGTCCACCTACAATACCTTAAGCAAGACCAATAAGATTTAAGATCTGTTTTAGAGTCTGGCTTGTAGTCTCACACCCGTTAGAGCCTAAATGAGTACCTCTTATATATTTCTGTGTAGTGCGCATGTATGGAATGGTTACAAGACCAAAATTACCAAAAAAGCAAAAATATATAAAGATGTGAAAAAACAAAAAAAAATCTTGCGTCAGTGCAGTATATATGTAAATTAAAGTGTTCCAAAAATCCACACAATATTAACTATGTAAAAGGCAGCACAGGCAAAAATAACATCACAAGGTATTACACATTATAATTAGCGTATGAAAGAAATTAGAAGTAAATACTTATAGTGTATGAATGGATAGTAGTATATGAATTTAATAACATGCGGACATAAAGTTTGCCAAGGACAGTAGAACTAGATTATCCATTAAAAACACTGGCCATATAGATATGCTTAACCACAAGACTATCACTAACTAAAATACACTTCATGCAGTAGTTCTGGGAAATACACCTATGTTTTTGTTTTTTTTGTTAGTGAGGTAAGTGAGAGGATCGACACTACTCATGTTTACTTATCACACATATGTGAGAGTGGTGTCAATCTGCTCATGACTCTCAGCAGGAAAGCAAATATGTGTATTTACCAAAACGTCAAACTATTCATTTAATGGTATATTTACGTTACACCACAGACTCAAAATTGTCCATTTGGCTAAATTCTTACAAATTACAACTTCAACAAAAAAAAAAAAACAACAACATTGATTTACTGTACGATCTTGCTATTTTTTGTGTCAAGTAGAATTGATTTCAGGTTTGAGCTCATATGACTATATGAGCTATATTTTCAAAGTTCATATGTGTTATTTCTTTGGTCTAAGAGTGCTAAAACTCAAATTTCTGATGTCATAGAGTATGAAATCAGGAGCTGCTACATAGAAAACAAATTGGGAAAGATGTTCTAGATAATTGGTTTCCAAGTTTTGCACAGAGTGCCGTTTCCCGTTGTAGAGTAAATGACAAAAGCCAAAACATCCGCAAAACATCCTTTATTTTATAGTTACAGCCCACTAATAAAACTCTCCACGGTATGAACAGTGGTTACGTAAGCTTATAACCAGCCACAGCTCAGCCCTGAGCAGAGTGACCGTCCTCTATTGACCAGTCAACGGACTGCAGTGTTCACAGCTCCACCTTTTAGTGCCAGATCTGTGTGCTAGGTACCCCAACAGAGGGGGGACCAAAATGGGGACAGTATGGAACGGTTCCATTGGTACCATCCACAACTTTTCACAGTGGAAACTGAAAAAAAGCTCACTGAACTGAACCATACTGCTCGGTGGAAACAGGGCTTAATAGACAGCTACTTAACGGAGACAGCAAACTAGCTTCACGACATGGCCTAAGGCAAGTATGGTGCGAAATGTATTTAACTCTGGGATCTTGAACTAATGAGTATTTGGGAACCACTGTTCGAGATGACACTGAGAGCAACCAGGGGAATGTTCATGAGAGTATATGGGTACACTTTCTTTTTCAGAACTGTGAACACTGCAATAGAATAATGCTCATTTGGATATAAAAAAAAGAAAACAAATTCTGTGGGTCCACAAAATCAGGTTCCCATTCTTTGTCTATTGATCAGCTCCAGACTTTATACTTGATGACATCACAAGTTTGTGACTTGTCTGGTCTCTGGCTTTGAGAGAGAGGAACTCATTTTCACAAATATTGATTACATTTTTAAAGGCCAAAAAATAGCATATTGGAATTCTTAATTTAGGTGTTGTTTCCCTTTAATATGACTTATTTACAGATGTTGGGAGGTCACCCACGTCACTCACTCAACAACTTTCCTTAAACCCTAAATAAAACCATAAAGTAAAACCAAACTTAAACTTGGCTCAGTTAATATATCCTCTCTTTCCCTTCCACACAAACTACAAGTACTGTGCTTAAATATAAAACTGATCCCTTGTGTTTTCATTTCATTGATGATATTGAGATTAATTCTCCTGTGCTGTTGAACCTACAGAGTTCCCTTTGTCACTCGACTGACCCTGTTCTGTCCTCTGCAATATCTCCATAGGTGCTACGTCACCTGTACCAGGATTGAAAACCGGGAAAACTTCATTTTTGAAGGTAGCTTTTAAACTGCCGATGAGACTCTTATCCTCCACGTTATAAAAGGAAAGCTCTCCTTTGTCATAATTCAAATACACACCGACTGTCTGTGGTCTGGAATAAACGGGAAGTACAACTTGTGGTTGTGTGCTAAACTGAAGGGTATTTGCTCCACCAGGGGAAGACGACAGGAACCAGAAACCATTAGATGTAATTGGAGTAAAATCTGACCTCTGAGGAATGACAGCTTCACTTGTAACGCCTACCCACCACGACTGTTTGACACCTATGTTTGGTTTCCACAAAGAAACCTCCCAGTAGTGTTCTCCAGATGAGAAGCCAGGTGTTCCTTTGATAGCTGTCAGACAGGTAGCCTGCGGAAACGTGCCGCAGGTGTCTCTCAGGATACAACCATCCTTGATTGTGAGATATTTATTTCCCGCCTTGTCAAGTGTGACGTTAACTGTTGAAAATTAAAAGCATTAGAGTGAAATCAGACCTTAGATAATGTACATAAATGTGATTTATAACAGACTCTCAAGAGATTACCGTAATGCTTGCTGGCTTTAAGGATGTCTTCTGTAAAAGAGAATAAATGAAAATAGATTTAATACCAATACAATCTGTAAATATTACAATTCATCACACCAAGTTGTTTATTTACTTATTTATTGTCACAGTTAGTGATTTTCTTTGACTTTTTGAACAGGAACAGAGTTAATTCTTACCTTCTGATAAAAGTTTAGTATTCTCTGGGGGAAAAAATATAAGAAAATGTTCGGTTATTTTATAAAGGCACTCATGAAGTTAAGTTTCATTGTCATGAGATGTATTCATACATCACTCAGCCTGTTAAAAATGTTACATAATGTCTTCTGTGGCCCAGAGTTTGAAAAGAAACAACTTGATTTGTCTCCAAAATGTCTTTTACAGAAGCACTAAATACTTAAATCCAGTACTAAATTGATGCAGCATCCATTAACATATTGAAATGGCCCTCTTACCTTCAGCATGGTCACTTCCTGATTTGGCTTTCTTCCCTGAAACAGAACATTTTCAGGATTTCGTATCAAATCGTATACGTCACATATAAACCAAGCATTTATCTCGTATCACACATTACCTCTCCTTCTGAAATACAGCACTCCAAGTAACGCGAGCATGGCCGTGAGGAGAAGCGCGAAAGCCACCCATCCACCCACTGAGGATCCAGACTCTGAATAAAAGAAATATTGTATTATTGTGTTTGCATTATCCAAGTGAAACAACAGAATGAATAACTCTCTTTCCTCTGTTTACCAGGTTGAGGAGGGCTCCCCAGGTGCACTCTTGCCTCCTTCGCCTCTTTGTCAGCGACGCCCACTGAGCAGGAGACCTCAGTGGAGCTGGAGACAAGAAGCCAGCTTTGGACTGACAGGAGACCAGAAGAGTCTTTGCTGTACGTCAGGTTTTTGGGGGGGAGATCCTGCTTTTGATCCGACCAGCGCAGACTAGGCTGTGGATACCAGCCTTGAGACTCGCAGCTCATATTCAACATGTTGTCTTCTTTCCACACCGCTGACAGGAGAGGCGGGGCGCCCATTGCTAGGAAGGAGAAGGAGATGACAACCATTTGATGTAAGAGTTTTAAACCATATCTTTGTGTTTCGGCTTTCTCCACTAGACTCACCTATCACCTGGAGGCTGACAGTGGCTCTGTCGTAACTCTGATCACTGCTGACGTAACAGGTGTATTCTCCTGCGTCCTCAATGGTAACATTTTTCAGCTTCAGGCTCACATCACCTGTCGCCAGCCCTCCAGACGCTGCATCCTTCAAGCCAAACGAGACTCGGCCCACGTACGAAGCTTCCTGGGATGTGTCCTCAAACTTTTTCCCACGGTAAAACAAGATCGGGGAGTCACCATCGCGGTACCAGTGTACCTCCAGACCCTCTGCATTTTGTGGGGGATTGAGCCAGCATGGTAATGTGGCTGTGTGGCCGCGGTACACTGAGACAGGGGTCCTTAAAACCTCAAGGCTATCTGAGACTGAAACAGAGCATAAATGTTGTTAGATAAGTTTCTGTTTTAGTAATAACCAATAAGTGCAAGGGTTAAGTAATGAAGATCTGCCTCCCTAATGCCCTATATGCATTACTTCTGTATAATATAAGCCTAATGCATGTTTAGAATTGATTATATTAGTGGAAAATTAAGCACACTTCACAGGTTTAACACAAAAAAGTAACAATAAATGTGAATAGGCAGTGATCATATATATATATAGAGAGAGAGAGAGAGAGAGACAGAGAGACAACAGTACTTACTGGGGGCAGCGCCACACACACACAGTGATGCAGCCACAAGGTACACGTGCATCATAATTGCACCTGTAAAACCGCAGTAATATGAATTAGCCGAAGCCTGCGTTAAACCAACCGTAGCTAACACCAGGAAGTAAATGACATGGTCTCTACACCTCCTCACACATTGCGATCGGATTTAAATAAACACATATTCAGTAAAACAGCGGAATAAAAGCAGAGTAACCGTTCACGAGGGACAAACCGCGTAAATTAACATCTTGGCCTACCCATCGTGCTGTTAGGAACTCCAGGGCGCAATATCCTTTACGCAGCTCGACGTACAGTCCTTAGTGTCGAAGATAAGTATGGAATACAAGTTTAAACCTGTAGATTTTAAGCCAACGTTGGCTTTTCAAAGTCAATCCTTTGAAAGCGTGGGATATCGGAGAAAATGACCGCACTCGTCCACTCCCTGTGCTTATCAAATAGCCGCTTTTACTTTCACTTTCACTTTCCACTTTGCCCGCTGCAGATGTGAGTGTGAGTGAGAGCGGACACACTACTCTGTTACGAGCATTTTCATTTACTGTAAACGCTCATGTATTTATATGAAATCTAAATTTGCAGAGACTCAAAATACACACATGGCCATTTTTCACTTGTTTATTTGAGGTTTAACTTACCGAAGTAAATCTTTCCCTGATGAAATCAAAAATCACATTAATAACTAGAGTAGGCTATTGGAAATAAATGGAGTCAATCAATAGAAGACACAAGTATAATTGTAAGCTATTAATAAATTACATTAACATTGCTTACAACAAAGAAGACTGTTATGGGAGAATTTGTATCATTATGCTTTATCCAAATAGGTTTATTATTATTATTGTTATTATTAAATTAGGTCTAAAGTCCGCACAGGTCTCGTTAGGGGGTGGATCAGTAGGTATAACACCTGCCTGGTGTATTGTCCAAACAAAAGCAGGCTACGGTTATAGAACATTCAGATTACATTCATGCTTAAGAAATATAAACACAAAATCAAAGAAACTAACACCCATAATGACTTTTTTTAAATGCACACCCACTTGTGAAGTCATGAAGAGTGTAATGCATTTTTTCATTCATATATTATAAAATGTGATAGATGCAATTACTTTTTACACTTGTCCAAATCCTACCTAACAAACTGGAATGATCTACCACAAGATCTAAATGTTCTTCATGTTTAGCTATGACAGACATGTAATTTTGGATGCAATAGCTTATTATAGCCCCATCTGGACTCTAAGAACACACTGGATGGGTAGATCCTAAGAGTTAAATGTCAGACATTTTAAAGCAGCTGCTCAGGTTTGAGGAATATTTTCTTGGTCTTTTGGGGGAAATCCAGCGTTAATTGGGTCAGTTAAAACATGTATTTGTCACCTACAAAGATCAAATCATACATTTTAACAGACTGTCTTCAAAGGTATAGAAGATACCTCTTCTTCTTCATCGACTGAGTATAAAAGAAACTTTCTTATGTATAATGATGTTAAACACAGATGTGCCAGATGTGCTAATGAGGGACAGGACTTATGTAGTTAGTGAATTCTCACGTGAGAGCGCTGCTTGGATATAAACAGGAAAAATCAGAGGGGACCGGAAGTTATGTGACAATAGCTTCAAAATAAATGTTTATAGTCGGTTAATGTGTCAAAAAAGAGCGGGTACGCGTTAAGAATGTTCAGTATTCATATCAACAAACGTAGTCAAATTATTTGGTTAATCGACGAACAGTCCACTGCGAAAAGACACAAAAATCAGCTAAGTTTAATTCTGATTTACCTTATTTTGAAATGTTGAACCGGAAGTTGCTTTTGTAACGTTTGGCTAGTGCAATGGTCAAGTTTAGCTGCGTCTGTTACAGTGCACTGTGCTGTGAGCTTATGTATGGCGTACTTTATTTTACGCACTTTACAGTCGGTTGGAAACTACTCCACCTAGCATTATGTGTGGTATCAGCTCGGCTAACGCAAGAATGTACAATTTTTGTTTAAATTGCTATTATCAGCTCATATAGCTAGCTTTCTCCGGGTTTTTGGAAGAGGTATAGTTAGCATTAGCGGTGGAGTTCACTGACCCTCGGATACATGGCGACTTAGCAACCCTATTTTACATCTCCTAAGTCCGGGGCATCGTTATAATTTTGCGGGGTTGCACTTTTTTTTTATCAAATATGTCTCAGCTTCCTGAGTGTGATGATACCACTCCACTGCTCAGGGATGATGCAAGCAGGTGAGTGCAGAGTTCAATAGCCTCTGACTTGACAAACTAGCCACTGTAACTTTAGCTGGGGTAAATATTCAGCTGGGAGCTTTAACTCAGAAGTGCACTGTTGAGGCTGTAGTGCGTCCACGCTGGTGTCCCTGTGCTTTATGTGAGCCATGTATTTCCTGAACCACTACTGGTATATTGTTGTGTTGTTTTGTAGAGCCTGTGATGTTTCCGAGCATAATATATCAATAAACTCAGATCACCTTCACTGTCTTGTTGTCTTGTTTACAGTGATGACTCTCAGGATGAAGATTACAAGAGTCGGTGGAGGTCTATCAGAGTCATGTACTTCACCATGTTCTTCAGCAGTGTTGGTGAGGATGCCTCTTGAACGTGTTTAATGTAACAAGCCTGTTACAGACACATCAGCAGGGGTTTAACAAGTTGTGAATGTTTGGAAAAATGGTCTCTGCCTTGCAACGGTGATGAAGAAAGATTAAGGAAACTGCTTTGTCTCTTGTGGGAGAAAATAAATCAGTGTTAATATCGCTGTTGTTTAACTTCAAATACATCTGACAATTGTAGAAAGGGATCAAATGACAAAATCCTTAAATGGGAAACATTTGATCAACAAAACAGAGTTCATCTTTTTTATTCAGGCTCTGGGTAATATCAGCTACATCCATTCAGTCAATGATTCACACAGAAGCAGATTTTCACCCTTTTTCACCCATTCAGCCAGTTATACATAACAAAAATACAGCAGGTAAAATATTTCTGCACCCCATAACAAAAGTAGTACGATTACTTTTTTGCAGCAGAGTACTGTAACTGAAAATATGATGCATCTGAGTGTTTACTGGGCTTGTGTTAAGTATGATATGATTCATAACACGATATTTATGACCTTTGACAACATCTCATTCAAAATTAAAATCCATCAAAAATTCTTGGCTTTCAGCATCTTAAATGTAAATATATTTCGATTTCTTTACTCCACTATGATAAAAAAAAAAGAATATCTTTCAGGGTAGTGTACTAACAAGAAATTTAAGGACTTCACCTTGGAAAACACTTTTGTTTGTTATTATTTTTATTTATTTATTTTTTTCAATAATTTAGAATATTATTGATATTTATTTATTTTAATATTTTTGTTATAATTTTTTTTTTTACCATTTTATGACATTCTTATAGACAAACAACTAATTGATTAATCAAAAAAGTAATTTACAGATTAATCAGCAATGAAAATAATTTTAATAAACTAAATAATTAGTTTTGAAGCTCTGTCTGAATAATCTGTTTTTTGTGACCTTTCAGGTTTCACTATTGTAATCACATCACTGTGGCCCTATTTGCAAAAGGTATGTATGACTTCTTTTTTTTTTTTCTTAGGCTCTTTTATGTTTTCATTTAAGGGGAAATCTTGGCAGGGTAAACAGGAATTGAAAGAAGTTAAACAGAATACCTCGAGGACTTAGATTTAGCAGAAGTACTGCACTTGAACTGTGCATTAGTTTATACTGAGTAAAGCGCAGTTCTAGATACTAGGGCACACTCTAGTCATCTGTCAAATGTAACTGCATGCAGCAATAATGGACCTTTTGTCTCATGTATCAGCATTAATGCCATCATTACAGCTCTCTAAGTCAGCTGCAGGGTCTTGTGTTTAAATTCACATTTTGTTTTGTTTATGTTTCTGATAGATTGATGACAGTGCCAACGCCAGTTTCTTGGGATGGGTGGTGGCAGCCTACAGTCTTGGTCAGATGTTGGCCTCACCTATTTTTGGCCTTTGGTCCAACCACCGGCCACGCAGGGAGCCGCTGGTGTGTTCCATCATCATCAACCTGTCAGCCAACATCTACTACGCCTACGCATACCTTCCCAGAACCAATAACAAGATCCACATGCTCATGTCCAGAGCCTTTGTGGGCTTTGGAGCAGGTGATTTGTGAAGGCCTGAATATGTTTCATATTATCTATTTGTGAGATGTCCACATACCTGACTGTGAATATCTTTCCTTCTCATTTAATACCACGGCAGTTATTTGCTCATGAACCATATGTCACACAACCAACTCCTGTTGTTCACTTTGGTGTTTTATGGCAGGTAATGTTGCTGTGGTGAGGTCATATGTTGCTGGAGCTACATCCCTGAAGGAAAGGACCGGTGCCATGGCAAACATGAGTGCCTGTCAGGCTCTGGGTTTCATCCTGGGACCAGGTAAAGATGGCTGTATTTTGTTCACGTTATACAAACCAGGCCAGAGTAGAGAGAAATTATGCAAGCGTAGTGTGTGATGGGAGCAAAACGTTGTTGGTTTGTTTGTTTTAATACTTGCTTATCTTGTTTGTGTTAGCTCTGCAGGCATGCCTATCATTTATTGGTGAGCATGGTGTCACGGTAAAGTTCATAGACCTGCAGCTCAACATGTACACCGCTCCTGCTATACTGGCTGCAGCCTTTGGCCTCGTCAACATCCTGTTGGTTGTTTTGGTGCTGAGGTGAGGCTGTTTCATAATGGAGCTCCTTGTTTTTCTGTAGATTCTGGAATTTGGTCAAATTAAGATGCCAGTGCTGTTTATTCCATTTAGCTGCTTCTGTCAGTTTATGTACAGTATTAAAGTTTTTCAGTGCTCTTTTGATTGGCTAAGAAATCTGCCGTGATTCTTGTCATCAGAGAGCACCGTGTTGATGATGATGGAAGACACATTCAGGCCATCAACTACACAGCAGAAGGTATTTATTGTCCTGCTCCTCTTTTTTGTGCCTCCACGCCGCTAACAGCTGTGATCGGAGGCACATCCATCCATTCCATAGTTGTGAAGATGACATCACAAGAACACCTTGCGAGAATGTCCTCAAATTTGGCACAAACCTCCGCCTGGTATCACCGAAAAACTGATAAGATTTTGGTGGTCAGAGGTCACTGTGACCTTATGTCCTTCCCTTTCTCATTAACAAGATATCTCAGGAACACATGAAGGAAATTTACTCAAATTTGGCACAACTTCCGCTTGGACTTAATGATGAACTGGTGGTCAAAGGTCAAAGATCAAGGTCACTGTGACCACACAACATTTTTTGGCCATAACTCAAGAATTCATCCACCTATTATGACAAAATTTCACATAAATGTCTAATAGGATAAAATAGGTGTTTTAAACATATTTTCAGCCATGGACCCCTGGCTCACTGAAAAAGACAGAGCAGGGACCTCTA